ATTTTTCAGGTCAAGGGTCAGCCATTTTGTCACTGAGTACACCATGGAACATTTAAGTAACATATCGGTAAGTACTTAGATTTTAACTGTGTGACATTTACACAAGAGAAATGCCGAGATTCTGCCATGCTCAAATAAAAATGTGATTAAAATTCGAATGAAGAGTGTAATTTTTTATTGCCCAGTAGGAGGATGCGCAGTAACATTACAATGTTGTTAAGAAAATGTTTAACTTAATTATGTCATGTTTTTATACAGTCGTTTTACTAGGGTAGTGCACGAAGTCTTAATCACCTGCAACATTGATTTGAAAAGAAAAAACAACAATAATAATAATTAATTTTCTTAAACAAACTTGCACGAAACTGTAATTAATATAAGAATGTTAAAATTAACGATTTAGACACCATTAAAACAATCAAATGTGGAAATGTGGAGAATGAAATGGTAATGTGTTTTTTAATCGCAGGTTAGAATTTAAATTCGACGACGTTTGAATAAAATAGCTCATATATCAAGTGTTACATTTGTACTGTCAGTGCACATTTAACGGTGGGTAGAAATGTACAGAGATACAGAGGAAGGAACGGGTGTACGTCCCCCTCCCCCCACCCCCTACACACACTTTCAGCTCCAACTTAAGAGATAAATGACCGTAGAAAAAACTGCTTGAAAGTATTCTTTCAATTTTTCCTTAATCATTTTCCTTAATTTCCGCACAGACATCAGCAGATACTTGATGTCCAAGCAAAGCTTTAATTTCCAGAGGACAAAATTTTAATGAACGTGTGACGTTTTTCAAACCACGACCACAAATTCTTTATCTGAAGTGCAAGCATAATTCAAATATTTCTGCCTAAGTTTGCATTCCTTTAATTTGTATCTCGGCAACGATGTACTTTTCTCAACCAAAGTCCAGTTGCAAACTACCTGTACCTGGACATCCGCAACAAATTAAAACCAAACTTCTGTATGCGGAAATACATTCCCATTTATTTTTCGGTGATAGGTTACGTCGCCCATCTGTACGCATGGGCGATGGTATGCGCAGGCGCTATTTTTATTCGGGTAGGTGTCGTCTGCGCTTAATGTGCCATCACCACACTAGCGAGAAACACCTCCGTCTGTCAAACTCGAGCAGACGACACCAAAAAATCGAGCAGGCGATTCCGTAGCTAGACTAGACACAAATAAATAACAACAAAATTTGAGTGGAGGGTTTAAAAAGAGCACGAGAAAGGGAGCAGATGTCATTAAATTACAAGCGACATCATTAAGTTGAGATAAGGGTATTCACAGCTCGAGTCAAAGACGCCACAAACTTCTGCAGATGCGTTCAAGAACAGTCGGAAAACACCATTAAGTAACTAGAGTAGAAGACTTTAAAAAATTGAGCAAACGACATCAAAAAAATAAAGCAGACGACATCTTAAACTTCAACAGACAACTTTAGTCAAAATGGAGCAAAAATTGCTTATTTTTCTCATGACGGCAGTGTTATTATTATTATTACCACAGCAGAAGACAGTTTCAGCATTGCCGATGGATATTATGGAGCAGCCACAAGACGACATTTCTGAGGAAGAACTGGAACGATTGAGAAGTAGGTACCACTAACTAAGAATTTAACTTAAAATACAAAGTGAGCAATTCATTGTTTTCGTTCATCAAAAAAAAAAAAAATGAATATAGGCGTACTTTTGACTCTTAAAATTGTTTGGGGCTTACAGCTTCCTCGTTATCCCTCGCATTGATTATATTATGCATAACATTTTATTTATATATAGTGATTTGTACAGCATAATACAGCTTAAAGGTAGGCATAATAATGGGAAATTTAAGTCAAACCATGAAAACCAACTGCATTTATCTATACAAAATAGTCCTTGATTGGCTAAAACGTTCAGCAAAAAGATACCAATTATTTTATTTGCGGTGTCATACAATCAATTATTCCTACCTTAGTTAGCTTTCATTGCACGTTATTTGCAAAGTCTCATAAAATATTTTCCACGACTGTGAAGATACATGATGGTTTCTGGTCTCGGTCTGCTTCATCTTCATCTTGTAACGTCCTTAAACACAGCCGTTTATGAGACCACCTGGTAGGTCTTTACACACAAGCGACATATATTAACTTCAATATAAAGCAAATTTCTTTAAACATTCGTTCGTCTTAGGCGGTTATTTTTTTATTTCAACATCTCTCCCTCTTTTGCATATGAATCAGAATTTGCTGTGGAGTAAAAAAACAGCATTTCAAATGGGTATTTTATAAAAAAAAATTTTTTTCGGACTCAAATGTCGTGATTAACAGAGCAGAGACTATCAAATCATTTTGAAATCAGTGCGCATTCTGTTTATGTATGTTGTGTACAATGACACCACTAACGACTATATCAATTGAATAAATGATCGTTACAATTTTTTGGTAAATTTGCTATCTTTTTATAGAAAAACATGTCGGCCATACAGTATTGCTTGAGTTGTCGGTGACATTTAAAAGATTGTATATAATTATAATTCCAAATAGCAATGTGAAATTTGAGAATATATTTGGCGGAACATCTTGGACAATGATTTCAGTGCTGTTGACTTTGAAAGTAGGGGTCGCAACTTTCCTCCCGTTCAATCAAAATTTATTACTTTTCCTTCGGTCAGTGTTTGGATGGAAACGGTACCCAGGCAGTAAGAATTACCAAACTGCATGTATTGTTCTATTGTAACAGATTTCTCAAGCATTACCCTCAGATTAAGGTCCTTCATTTTACTTTATGCTATGAGAGAGATGTTACTTAAGCCGATGTCTGTATTTCCGTAGGTAGCAAAGGAAAAATGGTATCAGCCTCGATATCACTAAAATCTAGACAAGGATTAGATATCAGAACAGAACACGTTTGTCAACCATCTGGTAAAAACAGACATTAAAGTGTCATATGTCATATTAAGCTTATTCACAGGACAGTTCATATATTATTCTCCGTCAAGGTGTAGCGACAAACGTGAGAGGCTTGAAGGAAAAACTGCATTTACTCACCAAGGTAAAAAATTAAGCAACTCATTGCGCCCAATTAAATATCTAAATAATTAGTTGAGAGATTACCAGCACCATTCACCTAAGGGTTGGGGTGGTTAAACACCCTATAAAAATACCTGAACATGCTCACCACAACGACAAATTTGAAAGTCAGCAGAAAAACATCAACATTTATATGTTGGAGAGTGGGGTTGAAATGATTATTGGAATTCCTCCCATCTTCCCCAAGGTGAGGGGCACAAGGGGTGCAGAGTGCGGCTGTAGCATTTACAACACTCCCAGACTGTTAAATTATACAACAGCATCGTACCGACCACCTTCAGGCACCCCTGACTAACGGGCACCTTTCCAGTGGGGAAGAAATTGTCAGTGCACTATTCTCGCTCTCTGAGTCTCTCTCTCTCTCGCGCTCTCATAAATAAAATAAGCCGTCTAGATATACAGGCATTGTGACAACGGGACATACAGATAATACAAAGAAAGTAAGCCAGCAAATTTAAGGCATTAACGGTAGAGATTCATCTTTACATACATGTAGGTGGATTACGCAGATTATACAGACTACAGAGAATATACATGTAGTCTTTTCCATATGAATACAAACTTAGTGGGCCAACAAAAGTTTAAAACTTTATTTAGGAAAGTAGTCCCCATATGTATTAGGCAGAATATGCCATCCCAAGCTTTCCTGCATATACAATTCAAATTATTGGATATAGAACATTTGTGTACAAAAGGTCTATGACCTGACAATAGAATATTATAAAAATAACATTTGGTGATATATATCGAATAATTTTAAAGGCAGCTAGCTGTACACCTTCAACATTAAAGACTGCGAGATATGTACAGACATGTAGTACTGAAAGGTGTAGATGAAGCCTGTTTTGAATACAAATGTACTGACTCAGACTGCATAGAGATTTTTGTCTGTTTGCACACTTCTGCAGATGACTTTTTTGGCAGTGAGCAGTATTTCGATCTTTCTTTGAAACATGATTTTGCAATATGGACACAAAATGAGACAGAAATGGCTAGGACACAAATAATAAAACCGGGTACCTACCTGTACATATAGAAAAACACTCTTATCATGTACATATAAAATCTTGTACTTATACATGTAAATAATTTACAAATACATACCCTTAGCAAATGGAAATTTTGCAGCAATATTGACCGATAAACATTTTTAACAATCAGTTAACAGTGGTGGTAGTTAAAAGTATTGAACTTGCCAAAAAGAAATAAAACCGTAGCTTATACTGGGGTGAAACATATTCGCCTGCAAGAGCAGTATAGATGTTGGACGTGTATCTAAACCACCATTTTCTTCTACATTTTGGGCATTTTGTCACCACGGGAGTACCAATGGTAGTACAGTTTGTCACCCAGGAGGTACATTTGCCTCTATAATGACAAACTTGAGGAATGAGTGGGGTTTTAACGTACACCACAGTCCAAAATTAACAAAACTATGGTTTTGTGGCCAAATTGTGGTTAAAATATTGCGATGTGGTAAACCTCTGCTCAGTAAACCACTTCAACTATAATAACATATTCCAAACACTTTCGTGCCAATTAATTTTGCATGTAGAATTCACCGTTTGCCACATCGCTTTTGAAAAATTCTACACCATTTACACCCTAAAATCTGCTCAAATATTTACACACTGTATGATACCATTTGTGCTTCAAAGCATAACTCTGCCAAAGATCCAAAACCTTAAAAATCGCCTTACACCCGCACCCCCGAAATAAAGTATGAATTTAATAACAATAAATAATAAAGAAAGCAAAGAAAGAGACAATCGCTTAATTGTACGTGGATTGAGGCATTCTCATCCATCCTCATAGTTGCAGGGGCGGATTTAGGCCGTCTTCTGGGTCTTCCGGAAGACGGTCAGATTTTCAAGTTTACATTGACGGGTATCTAATTTTTTCTGTCGGAAGACGGTCAAAAAATGGAGGATAGATCAACAAAGATAATGTGGAAGACTGTCAGAAAATATCTCTGGATCCTCCCCTGTAGTTGGGTTTAACCTCCTTGTTTATTCTATAATGATAAAAAGTTTTTTCAGTGTTTGGAATTTTTGCGGAATGCTCGTGATTTAGCATGTGTTGTTTCTTAGGAGGATAATCGTAATTGTGTATCCATTACTTCCGGGGCTCACATCGACGAATCGATGAAGGGTCGACACGTCATGCCTCATGGTTAAAGCAAAAAAAAAATTGCTGTCCTTATTAGCATTTTATATATGGATAAATATTTTCATTTTTCATGTTTTTTTTTTTTTCAAATTCTAGACTGCAAAATCGATATGTGTTTCGCAGTGGATTCGTCTCGCAGTCTGGGCGTGCCTGGACTACAAGATGAGATCAACTTCGCCAAAATGGTCATCGACCAAATAGGGGGCTTCGGAGAGGCGGTGGATGCGCGTTACGCCACCGTCGTCTTCTCCACCAACGTGTCGGTCCACTTCGACTTTAACGTCAACCAAAGCGTCCCAGAGTTGCGCAAGCGACTGGATGCCCTGCCGTTCTTCAGGGGCCGTACCAATATCCCCGACGCCATGATGGCCTGCTGGGACTTATTAACGAACCCTCTGAAAGGGTCCAGAGAAGACGGTTTTGCTAATGCCAACAGTACGCTCTTTAAAGTAGCCCTTGTGCTGACCGATGGAGTTTCTAACGAAGGTAAATGTCGGTTTGACAGGAATGGTAGTCCTAGGAATGGAAGTTCGAGGTCCTATATGATTAGTACAGGTTAGGGTTAGTTGGAGTATTGGGGTTAGTATAAGGGACGAATGTCACCTGTACAAAGTAATGGGGAACTGACTACGGATCCTGGCGACTACAGTCCCTGTCACACAGGGTGTCTTAAAAAAGAAAGACTATTAAACCAACCAAAATGTAGCAGTAATCCGTCAATTTTATGTTTTACCAGATATGAGATCACTATCTGTGGCAATTTTAAAGTCCCTATATCTACTAACATCACAGGGAATGTGTCCATCGTCACAGCCGCAAACTACATGAGAGCGGACAATATCCAGAACATAGCTGTTGGTGCCGGGGGCGGTGTCATCAGATCCCAACTCCTTGAGATCACTGACGGTGATGAAAGATACGTCTTCCAGGTAGGTTATGCACTACAGTAGTATGTGTTACTATTAGCTGCAGTTCTTCCGCTGTGTAAGGGTACCCTGTTTTTTACAACAGTAAGAAATAGCCCGTAATTAACTCGATTTGTTGCTTTATTAAGTGGACTTAAAGTTTCTAGCCTTAGTTGAAATATAACTTTTTTGCGTTAAGAGTACAATTGAACATATAACTGAAGCCTGTGTAACGTGACAGAGAGTCCCTCAAGAAAGAGAGTCCGCTGTCCATTCATTTGCACAGGTAAGCCTTGCCCTAGATTTTGACCCACTTAGCTCAGGCTAACCCTAACCTGTATAACTAAATGGAGGGCGGACGTTCAGTTACACGGATCCTCAGTTTCGTTACGCCTGTGGTAAGAAACTGAGGGTTGAGGTCACAGTGTCTGCCCTCCATTGCATTCACGCAGGTTGGGGTTAGCATGACGCAAATGGGTCAAAATCTCAGACGTTGAGGTCACAGTGTCTGCCCTCCATTGCATTCACGCAGGTTGGGGTTAGCATGACGCAAATGGGTCAAAATCTCAGACGGGGCTTACCAGGACAAAACAATGGCAACTGGATCCTGTATGAAAGGGTACTCTTTCGTAGATGGCATGGGGGGAATGCCGTCTCCCATTCCATTGTGCATGTACTTTCGTTCTCATGTCTACCTATTATTTTCTCAAAACAGGTCCAAGACTTGGGCAGCTTGAGTGAGATTGTCGGGGATATTGGACTGACTGCCTGTCAAGGTGAATGAAAATAGGCCACTGTATATGTGGACCTGATTCACCTTTATACAAATATTATAGCTTATATATTATAGTACAAATCTTGGGGGCATTTTCCTGTCCAGTTTTAAAATATGGTAGAAGCACACTGTAGATATATATTGTAAATTTATAGCGTATATCCTTGAAATGCTGAAGTGCAAGATAGTGTAATACTTGTAAAAGAGTGTAATACTTGTAAAGATTCAATCTTGATTTTTTTCTGGTCAAACAGAGTGTCATAATGAAATATAATTACCAAGGTTTTACAAGGCGTGTCTCTTAGGCTCTGTTCTCACAACTTTTAGATCGATCTATCACCGCGGGGAGTCTCACTAGATTACTGTCAGATAATCCGCCTTAAGTGTCCGTCCCCGCCTACTACAAGCAGAAAGGGATAATTAACTTTCATGTCCGCCCGGCTGACAGCTATTTAGCGTGAACCCCCAGGGAGTTAGGTCGATCCAATGTAGGTCGATCTAATCTATGAGAATGGGGTGTTACTTTACCTACATTAATGACCACAGTATATTTATCTCTTATTCCAGTTGTAAGTACCACTACGACTACTACGACCACGACTACAACTACCACTCCAACTACTACAACAACACCTACAACCACGACCACGCCTACAACAACCACGACCACACCCACTACAACCACGACCACGCCTACTACAACCACGACCACACCCACTACAACCACAACCACGCCTACCACAACTACAACAACTCCAACGACGACAACTACCACGCCTACAACAACTACGACTACGCCCACTACAACCACGACCACGCCTACTACAACTACGACAACTCCAACGACGACAACGACCACACCCACGACTACCCCTACCACACCAGAAGGTAAATATAAGCTTTCGCAAATGTACTGTAATATCTATTGCTTTAGCATGGATGAGGATTGGCTTGCAGAGTTTTTGGACATGAAGATGTTACGATACAATGAAAAGATTATTTTTTGAATTTTCTGCATGGAAGTGGACATTTTGTGCGTGGTTATTGTGGCAAAAAAAGAATTTTTATCTTCTTTAGTTTACAAATAATCGTCATGATGCCGAATGATTCTTTAAAAACAGGTCTTTCTTAATTTTTATCGATAAGTGTATATTGAATCCTACTGTTTGCTTCTTGAAGTTCTCAACTGAATTATCAAATGCACTTAAATAGTAACACATACCTTTGGTTTACAAATTACGCAATGTCAGATTCTTAACCACTTTAAGTTTGCATTAAAACTTTGCAATCCATCATTTGTATGGCTTGGGCTTATTCCGTCAACAAAAGCAAACTCCTCATTCCACCTCGGTCTCTAGACAAATCTCCGTGCCATTTGAGATACCAGGGGGCTGTTAAGTATAAGGTCCCATTCCCTTAGACACAGTCGGTCTAAGTAAATCGTTCCAACTCTGCTGGGACCCTTGCTGAATGTAATCAGTTTAACGGAAGAACACAACTCCTCCTTGAGTTTAGTGAAATACAGCAAAGCTGGTGATTCTACAAGTGCATATATATCTCTTATTCCAGTTGTAAGCACTACTACGACTACTACGACCACGACTACAACTACCACTCCAACTACTACAACAACACCTACAACCACAACCACGCCTACATATATATATATTGTTATTACACCAATTACACCAAGTATTACACCAATATATATATATATATATATATATATATATATATATATATATATATATATATTGGAAACAAAAGGAGACGTACGTGTCATTTAGTTAAACTGTTTGCACTCAGCGAGAGTAGCCGGATCGATGGTGTCTAAGGGGTCTTAGCCTTTAAGCCTTTAAATGGACCTTAACTTTCTGACCAAAGCTTTGATCTAATCCATGTTAAGGTAGCCCCTCTGTAGTTTACTTCATAAAGATCGCACTGGTCAGGCTTCTTGCTATAAGCAGTCATGACAAACCACTTGAGTGGATAACAATTGAATTGTCTCGGGTCAATAAGATTGGAACAAAAATTTTGGTCTGTACGTTAAGACCAATTTTTCGGCTTAAGTTCATTTTGAAAACAAGGTGAAGAGGCATTAGTTTAAAATGCAGACTAGTGAGAATAAGATAAATCTTTTTAACGTAATGGTTTAAATGACTGTTCGTACTCAGCTGCTTAATGAAGGAACATTAAAAAAAAACAATTTGGTGTAAATAAGTCAAGGTTACGTAACAGCCACGCCAATTAATTACAACTTCTTAAGATTCCATTTGCACACGGGGTAAAGCTCATGGTGTTGCGTTAAGAGAGTCGTGACGAGGGTTTCAATACTCGTTTCAGTCAGAATCACGTTAGCATATTTAGGCAAGCAATTTGCAATTTCAAGTGCAACAATAAATAAACAGTAAAACAGCTGCATCAATTAGCATTGATAACACGTTGAATGTCTCAATTTCATTCTGATTCCTGTTTCCTTGCCACTTTTGATGCACCCTAGTCAAAGATACATGCAATGAGACAGCCGACCAGCTGTTATATTGCCATAAATATCTCCCACTCTTGACTATTTTAATCACAACACGTTCGACTTAAATATGGCTTAATTGGTCTCCCGCTGCTTGGATGGTAACAGTGGAATGTGTCAATGTTCGTTTACCTGAATGCATCGCACTGGTCGAGACAAAAAGCCATTACTTTTAAAAACACCCGGTGCCAATTTCTCATAAAGTCTAATACCAGGCTTGGGGTTAGCATATTTTCCTTTTTAGCCTACTAAGTTGCGTTTCACAAAGCACCGTAAACGCCGCTTATTTTGTTTCGTCTATCTTTTTACTAAGAATTTAAAGCAAAATGTGACTGTCTTTATTATAAATGGTACAGAACTGCCGGTGTCGTTTGTGTTAATGGTCCAGTTTGGCATGTCATGTACCGGTACTTTTATTGAAGGCCACCAATGCTCTATAATTCTTTGATCGCAAATCTGCGAAGCCGACTTTGGCAGTTCTTTGGTTATCCTTAGAACTCAGAAGTCATTTTGTGAAAGAGTCCCCTACCTTCCCGCGGCCGTTGACCTAGATACATAAATGAATCACTATCCAATAAGACCATAAGGTAATGGCAATTTAAACTGTTGTTACTATGGCATCCCGCTGGTTAGAGGCAGGAGCAGCAGTCATAAACATGCCACAAGTATATAGATAAAGTTGTTTTTTATTCTAAATGGCAGGTGCTTTAAGAGATAATTGTAAACATTAGTTAAGGTGATGTATATGTTCCAAATGTTAAGCAGGGTTCACGTATTGTCATATTGCTTGTCACTAAATCTGGATTTGCCCGGTTTTGACACATCCACAGCAATCACCCTCAAATCAGATCTGGAACCTTTTGGATAATTATCTCCAATCCAAACTGCTCAAGGAATAGTACTGTAGAGAAGTCTAGGCTAAAAATTAGGGGTGAAAATAAATTTTATGATATATATTTTCGTATATATCTTCGGAGAGCCTGATATATATTTTGAAGGCTTTTGGAATTTGGTTTCCGTAACGTACTAGAAACTTTAAGTTGCGGTTCCAAGTTCTTATGAATTCTTGTTACTTGGTATATGTTTATATGTACATGTATCTATGCCAAAAGTGTCCACGTTTTTTTTCGACTCTTCAAAAACGTCTGTACTTTATGAAAGCGTGTATTAATTAAGTCTTTCTGTATAGTATAGTATAGTATAGTATAGTATAGTATAGTATAGTATAGTACAGTACAGTACAGTACAGTTATCTATCTTCCCAGTATGTGAGTGGACGAGATGGTCAGACTGTGACACCACGTGCGGATATGGTATACAGTCCAGGACATACGAGTGCTGCAGCACGTGCGAGCCAAGGATAGAAGTGAAGTCCTGTAAACTGACAGAGTGCCCTATTCCATCGAGTAAGTTTGCATCCCTACCTTCAGTAGCCTTCAGTAAATTTGCTATTTAAATAAATAATTAAATACTTGTAAGAGGTATTTGTAAAGGTTCTGTTTATCAAATCTAAAAAAAAAAATAATTAACTGCACTTTTGTTTTAAGAAGAGTTGTCAATTTCAGGTATTTAAAAAATTATTCTGATCGGAAGGATTGTGTTTCTGTAATCATGACTTTAAGCAAGATAAAAATATATATATATAACATTGAAAACGTTTCATACACTAAAACAGGTCATACTGGTCTCTGTGTTCAGCTTTTGCTATTTAAAAATCAATTGGAATATTATATTATATTATATTATATTATATTATATTATATTATATTATATTACAGTTGACGGTGGATGGAGTCCGTGGTCAGAATTCAGCGAGTGCACGAAGACATGTGGAGGGGGAGTTCAAGTCAGGTCAAGGTCTTGTAGTAACCCTGCGCCATCTGGTGGCGGCAAAGCGTGTCCTGACGTTGGTTATGAACTCAATCCATGTAACAAACAGGAATGCCCAGGTGATAAACTAAAAAGATAAATAGATAAATTTAACAGAACGTCCATAATTTTTTTTCTTCATTTAACTTCATTTTTTTTTCTTTTTGTATATTAGCTTTATTCCATTTAATTACTCTCATTTATTTATTTTCAGTTATTGGTTTATTTATTTTTCTATTAATTTTTGTTGATGCTCATGCTGTGCAATGTCATGAGATGTTAAATTATCAGTTTAAAACATTTTCCAGTAAATGGGAATTGGGGCGAATGGTCATGCTGTTGGACAGAGTGCAGCGCCACCTGTGGTTCGGGAACGCGATCACGCAGACGACAGTGCAACAATCCAGCACCATCTGGTGGAGGAAGTGATTGTGTTGGTTCAGATGTTATGACAGAGACATGCAACGAGATGTCTTGTGGTGGTAGGTTTATTGATGACTGTGTATGGAATTTGTAAGTAACAAATCTGCATAGAAAAACTCAGGGCCGTAGCCTCCGGGGGGGCAGGAGGGGCAGCTGTCCCCCCTGGGATTTGAGGTGCAAAAAAAAAAATAATCGCAATTTCTGACTTCTGATTGAGCAATAAATAACAGTTAAAATTCACCAGAATGCAGTATTATACATACAGATTTTAAAAATTTTCCACACCGTGGGAGGGGGACACCCCCTCCCACACCCTTCCCCCCTCGGGGGCTTCGCCCCCTCCTGTCCGCTTACTGCCCCCCCTGGCATTTTGCTCAGGCTACGGCCCTGAAACTAGTACATTAAGTGTATCCTATTGCATGAATTCACTGGTTCTTCGACAAACTGAAGGGGTCTCATCACGAAATATAAGGGACGGAAACCATTTTATTTTCAGATACAGTAAATGGAATTTAAGGCCCATAGATTTAAACAAACCCTCCATTTCAGTTTTCAGCACGTGTCGAGTCTATGGAAGAGATGCCGTATAAGGGCGTATTCCCAGACATTCAGATCGATCTATCCCCGTGGGGAGTCTCACTAGATTACTGTCAGATAATCTGGCTTAAATGTCCGTCCCGCCAACTACAAGCTGTAAGGGGGTAATTAACTTTCCTGCCCGCTCGGCTGACAGCTATTTAGCGTGAACCCCCAGAAGGTTAGGTCGATCTAGTTTGGATCGATTTAATCTCTGGGAATGGGGTCTAAGACTGTATCTGTATATTATTCTACAGAGTTTCAGATTAAAACAAATATGCCTACTCCTTATTTATGGCGAATTCAGGATGACGAGAAGGGGTAAAAGAGAGCATACCCCATTTAAAAATTCAATGAAAATGATATGAAGAAGAACTGTCTGCCTTTTTAACCAAATTATGTTCATGTGTTGCAATGGGCCTTTCTTATTTGCGAATGCAGGATATATAGAAGAAGGCAAACGTTTTTTTTTCTAAGTAATAAAAATCAAATAGTAAATAAAATGTTTTTCTACCTTCCTCTCAAATCTACTTTCTCGTGTTGTAGTGGACGGCGGATGGTCAACATGGGGTCAGTGGTCAAGTTGTCACCAAGGAACATGTGCCAAGACGCGCAAGCGCGCGTGCAATAACCCAGCGCCATCTAACGACGGAAAGCCGTGTCCCGGTGTCAGTTGGCAATTCAAATATTGCCACGCGTTGTGTTGTATGGGTATGTGTAAATGAACTTTATTACCACCTCAATCCAGCCAGATTCATTGTCTTTTGCTCAGGTGCCTTTCAATGCATATTAAAATATTGACAAACCAACGCCTACTAGGTTCTTTTACTGAACAAACATTTCCAATATCCCTTTTTGTTACCACATTGTAAATTATTATTGCAGATTATGTCTTTTCTTGTTACAGGAGGTGTCGAATATCACACCAGATATGATATACATTGCTAAGCGGAAATGTGGCAGCAATACATATGTTCCACTTTGGGGATTACGACGCGATTCTGAAAAAAAATCACATCATGATTATGGACTTTTCAGTGCAAAAGAATGAAAATATTTTATGCGGTGTGGTTTGTTATTTTTACTGCAAGAGGAGTATAGGATCTCCTGTTTAGCTGACTTTCTTTATATCTTTCTTCTGGAACCAATCCGTATGATGTAATGCAATGGTTCAATTAAATATTTATAGACTTTTAATCTTGAACCAGCAAGAACACCTAAATAATTAGTACAGCTACCTGTTATAACTGTGGATTTTTCATTGTCATTTATTGAACAAAACAGTGCAAAAAAGAGCATTAAATCAAGCAAATTATCCGTTTTTGTGATTCTGTATATTTGTAAAAACGTTTCCTTTTAATAAAATTGGTTATTTAGTAAAGCTAAACCAGTCTCGAGTTCCTGAAATACTGCTGTCTCAACTGCGTCACTTAATAATTGTGTAGAACGGGGATCGTCCGTAAACGAGGCTGACAGCCGACGCCATACTGAAATCTCAAAAATATCGTTTTAAGGTCAACCACTCTAATTTATTTGATCAAAAATTACCTTAATATTGTTTTCATATCGGAGTGTGATTGGCGGTTTCAGACATTGCTCAGGGAAACCAAACAATAAATAGACTTACCAGTGTGATGACCGGTGCAGAAAGAGTTCTGCCTTGGTAAACTGAATATAATTTTTTTGCAATATGGAGGACGGCTTCTGGCAATTACCCATGATAACAAAAAATGTTATTAAAATCGTTTAAGTATTACTATGTGACACCTTTACAATGTGCTGGAATTAGATTTATATTCGTTTAAGCGCCATGTTTCATTTCGTGTCACGTTCAAATTCATCAAGCAGAGGTGAAGTGAAAAAAATAAGGCTTTCATAGCTACGAACTCAGGTGGGGCATTTCATCCCAGTTTTCCGGTGGGACCATTATTTTCCTAATTACAGGGTTACCACTTAATATGGAATATTATTTTTTGGCGAGTAAATTTTCTACAAAATATTTAATTTCTCTCTAACTATTTTAAATCCAAAGCTAAGGTGTCACTCCATGTATAGCCAGGCGTGTTACCTAATTACCACACAACTCTCGAAACAATTGATGCATGCAGTTGCATGTTCTTTGGTCAGAAATGTGAGGGGTGGTCTTTTCGGCAATTTCTGCCCTTGTATAAAAACGCATGGGTTTGGTCAATCTTTGGAGTGTGTTTAGAGAAGCAACAAAGGGATCGCTCTGAAACTTGAGAGGTACCTTAGTGAAGAAATGGTTCAACAGCTAAGCAACGCAGCTTACTATGGGAATCTTGCTCTCAGAGAAAATGGCCAGAAACGGACAGCCATTGCCAGGTAATTCAACATTTATCAGGAACTGTTTGTAAAGTCCTCCAAAGAAATGCTGCAACAGGGGCACCTACTCCAATACCTCGACCAGGGTGTCCGCGTATCACACCAAGAAGACAGGATCGCCTTCTCTTTAGAGGACTCCGTGCTGGTCGTACAAAGACAACCAGTGTCCTCAGAAAAGAGAGGCAGAATGTCATTCAAACGCCCGTTTCAAGGTCCCTCGTGAACAAGAGATTACTGCAAGCCGGTCATTTTGCACGAAGGCCAGTAGGGAAACCTCTGTTAACAGCAGGTCATATACAGCGGTGTCTGCAATGGGCTGGGGACCACGTGCGTTTGCAGCCAAAACACTGGAATCACGTCGTTTTCAGTGATGAGGCCAGATATGGATTTTTTAGGGTTAGTGGTCGAATCCGTGTCCACCGACGTGTACGAGGGGCATATAACGATGATTGTGTACTGCATAGGGTGCAAGCAGGGGATGGTAACGTCTCTGTTTGGGGAGCATTTTATGTCGGTGCCCAGAACCAGTTGGTTTTTCTAGGAGGCAACCTCATCCAGGATTCCTACAGAGACATTCTGCAGCAAACAATGCTTCGATTGGTATGAGTCATCTTCAGGAACAAATTTGTGTACCAAGACGACTGCGCAACCCCACATCGAGCCCGCAGAATCACTGTTTTTCTTCAAAACCAATGGGTTCAGCAACTGCCCTGGCCTGCAAACTCTCCAGATATGAACCCAATTGAAAAACTTTGGGCAAAAGTAACTCACAGAATTAATAGCTATGGTCATCGGCCGGTTAATAGTGATGATCTGCGACAGGCAAATATCACTGCGTGAAATGATATCCCCATCCAAACTCTAAAAAACGTGGCGCAGGGTATGCCATGTAGAATGAGGGCGCTGCATGCGGCTGCTTGAGGTCATACCCGCAATTACTGATTTTTCATGATTTACTGTAATGAGTTCTTTGACTGTGTAACATATTACTGTCCGGAGGCTATCATTTGCTTTAATATCTTAGCTTAAAGTTAAAACTGACATCAAACTGTTGATATGGTTTTCTGGGGGCGTTCCTTTCTTTTGAATGGCATCTTATGTCAGACTTGATATCATTGACCAAAATATCTCACAACAGAAGACTGGATGTTTTAATCACTCAGTGACATACTTTTTTGATGAATCAAGCCAAAAAAAATTAATCAGCACTAAAAAATAACAATGATAAAAAATATTCCATATTAAGTAGCAACCCTGTATCTTCGAAAGAAAAAAAAAACGGATCGGAGCTAAAAAGGACGAAGGTCTCTCTTGATGGGAAAGTTTCTTAACACAAGGTACAATTGTGTTATCTACAGTGCGAAGGAGGTGACATATCTTCTCTAACGCATTATGTGGCATATGTTTGATATAGAAGCCGGTGTGACAGCAATGTCACGGTATTAAGATTTCCTTGAAATAAAACCCGCGGTCTTATCTGTTTACTACAGGCTAGAGATAGCTGGAACTGGGTCATGATATAGGGTGTATGTCGCCTGTGCAAAGTTACGAAAGACGGACATGTTCCCAGCGGACTACAATTCCTTTCATACCTGTTTCACAAAATAACTTAAGACAAAATCTGTCTTAAAGGCCAGCTCCATGGTATTTTCCCGCCATTTTCCTTGGGTAAAGGACATTCTTCTACTCGCGAATTATTGCTTGACCCTTCCCTGCACTTGCATTCGATATTTTATTCTATTTTTTATTTGATGATTTAGTTTTAAATAACTCGCCAGTCTTTATAACCCTTTCTGCCGCCACGCACACTGCTTCGTTTTCATACAAGAAAATGAGTGCTTGTACGAGGAGGATGAGAAGATAATAACGGCACAAGGTACGTTTCAGATAAATTTTAACTATGGAGTATTGTCTTTAGTCCAAATTGGGAAATATAAGAAGCTTTACAAGACATGAATACAATGTATGACTATGGAGGGGGAGGGGGGGCGGTTAAACGGATTGAGAGAATCTCTGGATATTAATTTTGACGGGAAAATCCCTTAAACTTTGATTTGATTACATGAATAAATAAATCTACATAAATACAATAATATATCAATTAATATTTTATCTATCCTGAAAATTCTATCAAAGTTTGCCCATAGTTTTGTTGCTAACAGACACATAGACATTGTTATTTACCCAGTTAATTAATTAATCAATGGATCACCGCGAAAATCCAATCGTTTGTTAAATTGTCCCCTCCTGGCGGTTTCTGAACATTTCATCAAAATCCGCCCACACTATATATTTTACTTATGATGTTAACAGAAAGAAAACAGAAAATGAAAACAAAAAAAAAAAAAAAACGTAACCGCTTTGGTGGGGGCAATAAACTGTTTGAAGAAACACATCTTCAATTTACCATGTTTTTTCCCTATCGTTGAAATTAGAATGATACATTTTAAGATGCCTTTTTTCTTTTTATAATTCACCTGAACACAAGAAGAACAATTTTCTTTGCATACACCACACGTTAATTCGGTTGCTAATTTTTCGCAAGACTGTAATTCCTGGAAAGCCACTCCCACTGGCAAGAAGCTGCGTCACGTGATTTGCGTTCCGCGTCAATCATTTGATTTACTGTGTCGCAGTAAAGCCAAATATAACAAAATGTTCGTTTTGATCAAAAAGTCTCTCAACTGTTACATTTTACACTAACATACAACAGAAAACTCGAAACTGAAGAGGATTCTAGATTCAAAAGATGCCGTCGAAAGGAGTATTCTCTTGATGGTCAAATAGTGAAATCAATGTAGCCCTGTGTGGTAATATCTGGAACAGAATGATAATTTGAAATACGGTGAAACAGGGACGAAAATGAATAACGAATCATGATAATGATGAAAAAATGTTCGCACTGTTACTTTTTACATGTTTGGGCACGTGTTTATGGAATCCAAATATACCCGCGGTGTCCTTTCTCTCTAAAAGCCCGTATGGTCTTTAAAATATTGTCATTTTACATTTTAATGTTGCCAGTCATTTCTGATTTTCATATTTTCATGAAATGAAATTCTAGTTGTGTTACCTCTGTAGAAATAAACTCAAATGCGATTGTATGTCTACAAGTGTAAGAGAAAGAATTTGAGAAAAGTGTGCAAATTTTTGCAGGATTGTGTGCAAATGTATTTAATTTGACCAAGTTGTTGTCCTAATCTTAAGTTGCTACGCGAGGTAGTCACAGCAGCTTTTTTATATTCTTTCATCTTACATGTCTTTAATAGCGTTTTCCTTTGATTCCCGCGCTACTTCCATTCATTTCTATTTCTGCCTCTTTCAATCTCTAGCCGCCTTCTCCCAGTTTAAATACATTCGTCTGCTTTAGTATTATGAAGGACATGTCAATCAATTCAGTTAATCTACAAAACACTCCCAGCTCATTCACTCATAGCTGTCAATAATTATTAGGGACCTGCCCAACAGCGAGGAGTATAAAAACAAACGTAAACGTTCCGGAGCTCTTAGTATGCTTTCTAACTTAAACTATAGCTATATAGCAATAAAAAGTGGACATTGCTGTTTTTTTCTTTCTCGGTGGCTCAATCCAAAAGTACTTTTATCGACAAATCATGGCGGAAAATTTGCAAAACGCACCCTCTCCTTTGGCAGCGAAAGACATAGAAGAAGCGAAGAGAGTCGTTCAAGAACATAAAGTGGAAAACATTGTAAGTCATATGCAAAAAAAACTAAATGATTTGAAAATGTCACCGTTAATATTGCTGTAACGGGTGCGGCCGGTTCGGGAAAATCAACATTTATCAATACGATTCGAGGCATCACTGCTGAGGATGAAGGTGCAGCCCTGGGGCCGGTTTCACAAAGCAGTAGTTAGTTAGAACAACTAACTACTGAACTACCTCGCTAACGAGCAAACTTAGCGATTTTCGAGGGGTGTTTCACGAAGCAGTCGTTAACTCATCGCTAAGTTCAGTCGTAAAGTTCGGTCGTTAGTTCTCTCGTTACTCACCGTACTCTCGAAACCGTCTG